GCATTTGTTAGATATATGTATAGACTAATTGCAAGCGATCTCAAAGTGCCATATTATGAAAATATTACATTCAGTTATATCTCACCTGAAAAAATCCCTAGCGTAAAATCATTTTCACCTGAGAGGAGCACCGTAATCATTTTTGAGAATATATATGTTGCTCCTGAATCTATCCAAAATTGAATAATTCCATTTTTTATACATGGGCATCATCGAAATATTTCTCTATGCTATGTTACTCAGAAGTACCATCATGTACCAATTATTATTCACGAAAATATCTCCCTTTTAGTAACATATAATGGAGGAAGCAGTTATCAAGATATCTCCAAGATAGCTGGCCGATATACTGATGATGTAAAGGGCGTATCTATGATTATTACTAGCTACCTCTACAAAGGTGAATTTGTTATATTTGATCTCAGCAGGTCAGAGGATAATCTGCTCGCAATTCAACTAAGGTTTGATACTCTATTAAATCTGCAAAAAGAGATAGAGGTGAGGCAGAAGCGCAAGGAAAATAGTGCTTCACCTAATGAATAAAATTAGTCAAATTGTAGATCCCCTATTTTCTCATAAATTTGAAAATAGAAAAAATAGTAATTAGAAAATTTTTTAGATAAAATTTTACAAAACTCTTCACTCCGAAAAATTTATTTTTGAAGAGAGATGATTTGTTTGTTCACAAACTTTCAAAGTGATTAATTATATTACTGACCATAGATGAGAAAATCATAAGTAAATATACACTTTATAGATTTTTATTTCATATCGATGGTGGACAACTATAAAAAAATAAATTATTATAATAAATATATAATATCTATTTTGATATCGAATCCATGCTCCGGAAAATTCAGTGTACATACTCACAATTATTGTTCGAATCTGAGAAATCTATATTAATTTCTTCTTCTAGGATATAAAGATATTTAGTTTCGAAATAGTTGATTTTTAGTGAATCGTATGGATATAATTTGCTATGCGTTTTATACATATAATGCGCATACTCTAATCTTTTAACAATTCTTTTATTACCAGATTCATTAATACGGTAATATTCAGGATTCGATAGCCACTTTAACATATAAGTCTATCCTGAATATTTAACAATTCTATAGCCTTGCTGATATAATACTATAAAGCAATTATATATGATACAAGACCTAATCGTTCACGTAGCTGATCTTTCTTTTTATCTACCTTAGTTGATGTATGATAACTAGGAGCTTTTTTAACATGAATATTTATATCTAAAACCTTTTTCTCATTAGGGGTGTCATCATTCCTTACCATATTCCAAACCCGTTTCGTCTATGTTTCGGGTCTCAACTTGAAAGCTCTCCAAGCCTGTTGGATAATTTTTGCACCATTAAATAAGGAATAAGCAATTTTCTCTCTAAATTCATTCTTCGTATTATATACATGATAACTACGCTATAGATATATAGAATAATTCATAAAAATCTCATCAACCTCATCAGAACTAAGCGATGACACGTTTCTTCTTCCTTTTTTCTGAATAGAATTAGAATGTGCAAAATGCCTTTTAGCTATTTTAGCAATGTATTCATTCAGGTGATGATTGGCATATTCGATAATATTTTTACGGATAAGTACCAAGGTGTCGCATACAGTGCAATAAATATTAAATGAGCATCTCTCAGCTTTAAATTCCCAATCTATATATACCCTTTCAACCATTTGAATAAATCCATTCTTGGAGAAGTATTTCAGGTTGTTTTCTAGAAGTGTCCTAAATAGATAACGAATACAAGAACACCACATTTCTGGCATTTCATCACTATACCTATATTGCAGATTGATTAATGCCTGCGATACGGCAAGATTTAAATCAGAATAGTTAGTTTTAACCATTTTGCAGGTACAGTGATAATATACATAGCAATTTCACTAATTTTATCGATTTATAGTGATTTCAATAACTTATAGCGGTTTGTAACAAGTATATAATAATAAAATATCAGATTCATTTTTATTCAAGAGAGAAGGGAATATATACTTCATAGATTTTTATGCATATTAATATTTTTCTACCTGTGTTGGAAGTAAATAAAAAATTAATATAAAATATATTCATATACGTGTAAACAAATTGTTCATACCGATCACTCAATTGTGATCCTGCCTTCTCGCAATTCTTGCTCGAAGCCAGATATAGTTAATTAACAAATTTTTAGTTTCTGAAACAGTTAACTATATATCTTTTTTCGAGCTTGCGAGAAAAAAAGGAGAATAGCAGAAAAATAGTAAACAACTAGTCATTTTCGTTTTTTTACTGACTGAGTTAGGGAAATTCGAAGCTTCTCGTCGTAAAACTGGATTAAAATATGTATTTATATAAATTTCGAGGTGGATACTTTCAAACTATTTCTCATCTCATAGCTCAGTAGACTAAACCACAAGAAGCTCATTGGGTCTTCCTCTTCTCGCTACGTAGATAATTATAGTCTAACAATCGTGCCCTCTATAATAGTGTTTTTATAAGCATATAAGGAAAAAATAAATAGAAAAAATATATGATATGCTTTCAAAGAAGGGAGTATGCGGATCCTAAACCATTTAATGCGAGTCCTTGCATCATATTATTTCTCTATATATAATACACATAGTCAGAGGCCCTATCGCTCTGCCTTCTCGCAATACTTGCTCGAAGCTAGATATATTTAGTTAACAATAAAATTTTAAATATATATATAATATGTAAACTATATATCTTTTTTCGAGCTTGCAAGAAAAAATGTGGTAGAAACGAAATTTTTTGCATGACTATCCCTAAGAAGACTATATTATTAAAAGATAGCTAGATTGCATATTTTTGCGGAACAAATGAACTGCCATCACCAAAGCACTGAGCCCTCTGCTCTGTTGAAGCAAGAAGATTGTGCGCATGTTCAATCACACAACTCGCCGAAGCAAACTCGTGTCAAGTAGCTATAGAAGTCATCTTATCAACACAAAAACAATCCAACGAGAAAAAGAGATGCAATGTTCAAACAGGTCAGAGCAATAAAATTTATAGTTAAAAAATATAGAAAAAAGGATTTATATAAGTGGAGAACTATGCTCCATGCATGTTAATTAATCTCCTATATAGTTCATTATATTTAGTTTTGAGCTGTATATTATTGCCTAGAAAAGGATAATCAGGACATTAATTATGCAGTAGTTCGGCGCTTTGCATCTTCAAGGGGTGGGTTTATCTCTATAAATATTCGTACAATATACAAATCGTGTCTTGGCAATAATTTTTCCAAATTTTTGATGATCGATCTCACCATGGTACTTATTTATCACATAAGCATAGTAGTATCGATTGATTTTGGTTATTTACTTATAATAATATATTAAGTAATGCAGTGCAGAAATGTAAATAGAAAATAGCGATAAGAAAATAAGACTTCTTAAATGCACTTTAATAAAGAAGACACATGTACAAATATCACATATGAAACATAACTACTATAAATCTGGAAGCGGATCTTCCGCCTTTAACCCTTGTCAAGCACGTGCTAAATCTAGAGAAACGTCGATTATTAATAACTATATTTTTTGTCCATATATAATATAGCATTATAAAACAATTCATACCTATATATCCTCGTCTCCGATCAGATATAGCGGAAGGAACCTGTATTTGTTTTGCTTTCAGTTTGGGAAGATGGGTCCAGTGGTTCAAACCCTGAGCATTATTGAGATCTTGCTCAGAAACCATTGGTCTATTAGCACCTTTCTTAATTCTAGCCTTAATATAAGCTTTAGTAAAATCCTGTAAATAGTGGAAAAATGTGCTATGTATGAAATAAACAACACTATACCGGATCTCTCTAGTGACTGAAAAATTACCATGAAGTAATAAACATGAGGCAAATGCTATGATTTGTCTTAGCCTAAGATATATGACTATTTGAAGCTGAAGAAAACATAACTCTTCTTCTTCGTAATCTTCTAGTGCAACTAAGACACATAAACTATTTGCCTCGTCATGCTCATCCTAATGATAGTCACTAGTGGTATTAAAATTAATAGCTATTATTAGGAAAACTCCAAAAGCTTCGGCGCAAATGGACCCCATGACAGCCCGCTCAATTTCATATATAAATCTTCATAATAGTCTTGGAGGAACCGGTTGACACAGTTCGATAATGCTTTGAGACCTTGAAGTAATTTGTTGACGCATTCATGATGATCAATGTTATGCGTACTTGCAGTATTGGAGCTTATAAAAGGGAGCAAGTTGTTTCTGATATAAGCCCTGAAATATTTGATAAAATTGGTCCAAAATTCATCGTTTCGATGTGATGGATGCTCCAATGTATGGAAATAATAATTATTTACAGCATTGGTTGCAAGTATAATGGCATTGTAGTCATCGAGTTGCTCTAAGTAAACCAATGTTTGGCCACTTAGATCCGTAATGTACTCTGGTTCTGCTATATGTTTGAATTGGACCAATTCACTTATCGATTGGGAATTATGACATGCTGATATGATCAGACCTGCCTTTTCTCTTCGAGTATTAAAAGCGGTAGCTGTGTCAAAAAGATCTTGAAAGTCTCTATCACTTTGAATATTATGAGTGTACCAGAGTTTTTTCTATAACACCTGAGGTGCTATCGTACGTGCTTTCTTTTTAATAGACTATCCTGCTTCTTTAAGCCTAGCCACTAGCCGAAAGCAACCCACAATCGCTTATTAGTGGTATTAGACGATGATCCCTCAATGCCGACATCGGTCTCTCTAATAATATCAGTATAGATCAGAGAGAAAAAGTTTGACAGAATCTCAGGCAACTCAAAAGAGTTACTGTCAGAGGATTTTGCTTCTCTAATTAGAGTTTCAATTAACAATTCTCTGGCCGATATGTCGTACCAAGTCTTATTTTTTTTGGTTGATACCCGATCTGAAGAGCAAAGGGGAATACTTGTTCACTCTCTCTCTAAATAATAAATATTATCATTAGCAGATATTTTTTGAGTGGCAGATTGGATTCGATGCCGAGATGGATCGAAGACGATATCATCGATTAGCAAAGGGATGTCAACGTCCAACTCGTGAAGCATCTCAGCTTGTTTCTGATCACGTCTAAGTTTTTTGTTTTTGCATGTATGGGCCTGTCTTGACAATTTGGTTTCAGTAGGCTGTGCATTCTGTGTTATAATGTTCTCCCTTTTCGCTTATTAGTTGATGCTTGCATTATGACTTTCAAAAAAAAGAAAATATGTTATTAGTATGAATTCGATTTAATGGATTCTCGCACTAAAAAAAGAGAGAACTTATATCTTTTTTTTGTATATGATTCAATCTACGGTAATTTGTGAGTTACTATACTTTGTACCATAGTAATTCGACACAACAATAATTAATTGTATGTCACTATATTAGGTACTGTAATGGATTGATACTATTTTAGCATCATAATTAATTCAACACCGCCTAGTTCTACAAATTTAGATAGGCAGGGGGCCGTGAATAAACATATACCCATATAGATAAATTTAGGTTGTAGAACGGGTTGGATTCAAGAAAAATCTGTAAACATATATGTGCATTATTTACATAAAGCAAATATTTATTATTTTAAAAACCGATTAATCAATAGAGTCGATTAAGTCGTCAGTATCCCTAGACAGTATGTACAAATTTAGAATAATGATAGCGGAAAAGGGTAGATCCTAATTTATTTTGACATTTAGTCAATTATCATGACTTAACGGTCCCACAGGTCCCACGCAAAATTTACAAATTCTTATCGCATAAATTCCATATCCCCGACGGCTTCCAGAGGCTATCGGAGTTTAATATTTTTATTTTTTATGATAATAACGATAGCGATCACTTGATATTCAGGTTTATCAGTTCGAATGG